TGTTTGGTCTTTCAGTAAGTTGTTATTTGATGGAATCAGTACTTTGAAGTAATTTCATAAGAGTACAACATCTTCAATTATCTTATACTTTTTTTTATTATCATTTACTAGATGCCTTTCTCTACAGACGGTATATCAATTAACAAATTTCTTTTAATAAGTATTAAAAATTAGATATCTTTTAATTGTGATAGAAAAGCATTATCTAAAATAACAAAAAGAACCAAAGATAATAAAACAATTGTCAGGAGATACAAATGATTTTTGCAGAAATTATCCTATTGAGGTTTTCTTTTATGTACAAATTTCATGGTATAAAAATGTTGAGATATATATATAATTATTTATTTAAAAATATGATTCCAAAACGCTACATAAGAAGTCTCATGTTTCAAAACAAGAGCCAAAAACTTCAATATAATTATTTAAATTAAATTGAGTTAAAATAAGGTCTGTTGCATCTTCAATATAATATATATATATATATATATATATATATATAATATATATATATAATATATATATATATATATATATATATATATATATATATATATATATATATATATATATATATATATATATATATATATATATTATATTATATTATATATATATTATATTTGTTTCAGATCTAACTGAAATTTAGACAGTATAAATAAAAAAGTAATTAAAACATATGGTCTTAAAACTAACCAATGATTAAAAATATAAACAACCGTACTGCAACATGTAAATAATTTCCAACTTCATTCAAACACAAAATATACTATTCTGTATGAACTTGACAGTCAAGGCTATCAGAATCCAATAGTCTAAGTTGTTTTTTTTTTTTGTTTTTTTAAGAACTGCAGTCTAAGAAAAGAAAAGATTGTTGTCTGACATTATATATTAAAAACAGGTTTGATATGACATTTTTTTTTAGGTCTGAACTAATAATTAAAAAAAAAAAAAAAAACCCATAGAAAATATTAAATAAGGATTATTTTTAAACTATACTGAAGAGATTAAAATCAATATGAATCACATTTTAGTGTGATTGATGTCTGTTGTTAAATGTAATCTTTTATATAATGACAATATCTGACAAACACACACACACACACACACACACACATTATTGCATTTTCTTAAGTGTGTTTAAGAAAGTTTTAAGAAGAATCTCAAAAATTAAACTGAAATCTTTTTATCCACAATAAAAACAAATACAAAGTAAATAATTTTTTTTTAAAATAATGCATTAAATCACAAGTGGTTACTGGGTTTGGAATTTTAGATTTTTAGTTTGTTTATTATGGTGTTCTGGTATTTAGCTTATAAGAGCAGGCATCAGTGAAAAGTCTGGACCACTCAGTGAGAACACTATTTACATTATTCAGACTATTGTCCTCATCTTTGTCGCCATATTTTTTTTACAATGTTTCGGCCAAAGAGTGTGAGTTCAATACCTGGTTAAGGCAGTGGAGAACTTGCAGAGGGGAATTAACAGGAGATAACTGATAACTGACATCCATTAAATATGGCACATGGAACTAGAACAACCTACCCCAGTGAGCGAAATAAAGGGTTCAGTTTGACATTCCAATCACCTGAAGAAGGCTGGAGTGTACAACAGCCAAAACATTGTAATAAATATGGTGACAAAGATGAGGACAATAGTCCAAATAATGTAAATACTGTACATAATACCTCATCTCAGAAATATAGACACACACTCAGTGAGGTTTGAACTCACAACACTAGTAATTATTTGAAATTATTTCGCTTCACAGCAAGAGTATATTTTTGTTTTGTTCTAATTAAATAATAAATATTAACATTTTATTCTAAAAAATAGTACCATGGTGAATAATCCATTGGTGAACAATATGTATGTTAAAAATAGGATTATGAGAAACCATGCTTTATACTTTAATGCCATCTGGGGTTTTAAAATTGTCAAAGTGATTATTAGTTGTTATATAATCAGTTCTTTGTTTTAATTATGACTGGATAAAAATTTATTCTGTACAATTCTGTTCAACATTTTTATGTCGGCAACTTAATATTTGTTACCAAATCAAAAATATTCATTTCAAAAGCCAAATAATTAGTGCTTAGAAGAGATGAAACCTCATGTAACCAGTAAGAAACATTCAACAATGAAATGATATTATTCAACCTAAAGCACTTTTAGCAATCAGCTTTTGTCAAAACAAATCTCAAAGGGTATTTTGCGAATTTTATTTCTGAATCTCAAAAAATTCTGGCAAGATCTAGTTCTTGTTATATCAATCAGGATTCAATGATAAAATGAGAAAATAAAGAAATTGTGAAAATTTCTTGTGTTAAAATGTAATATTTTCATAACTCCTTTAGTAATATAGAAGTTCAATTAACCATATATTTTATTTATTATATGAGATTAAAACAAAAACATGTTAAAAAATCACTACACAATAGCAATTTTATTCCAACACTACACATTTGGGCGATTGTAAATTACTGGTGATTGAACAATTAATTTCAAATTAACCAATCAAATGTGAAGCCTACATTTTTTGTCTTCTCTTTCTCTTTCAAAAAAAAGAGGAAGTATTCTGCTTTTGAAATTAATCATTCACTCACTAGTAATTTACATTTGTAGTGTTGAAACACGATTACTATTTTGTAGTGATTTTTAACGTTTTTGTTTTAATTTCCTATAATAAATAATATTTAACTCTACTTTGCAGTGAGCCCTTTTAAATTAAATGTTACGGACAGTGGAATTATACTTCATTTGTTCTTATCTTACACACATATATATATATATATATATATATATATATATATATACATACACATATATATATATATATATATATATATATATATATATATATATATATATATATATATATACACACACACAATATATATATGAGTGGACACAGGTTTACAACCAGTATCGACAGTCTTAAATGCAATCTTCCATCCATGTGTGTTGTGTTTTGGCTTGACAATAAATGTTGACCAATAGTGCATTATGGGTAGAGGGTCTCTTGTATTATCCTGATAGTTATTGGGTTTGTGGTAACAATTATGTTTCAAATTATTCTAAAGGCTATTGAGTAGAAATAATTGTGGATCCAAATGTTGTTATTTTTGCAAATAACTATAAAATACATACAAATAACTACAGTTGGATCAACAATTATTTCTACACAATAATTTCTAGAATAACTTGAAACAATTGTTACTGCCTACTCAATAACTAAAAATACAATAAACCTGCTCATAATGAACCGTTAACCAGTATATATAGTCAAGCCAAAACAACACACATGGCCAGAAGATTGCATTTAAGATTGGGTGTTGACCTCAGTGTCCACTTTTATATTTATATATGTTCTATCACTTTTACCCATAAACATAGCATACCTTAAAACCACACACACACATATATATATATATATATATATATATATATATATATAATAAAACTTCAAAAGTTATTAAATGGAATATTCATATTTGAAATAGACACCCCATTTTTATTTATTAAATTGTATGTATTACATCTATTTCAAATATGAGTATCACCTACAATAAAGTTTGAAGCAATAAAAATGTTGTATTAAAAATAAACCCATCAATTCTTTGGAAATTTTATACATGTAAATTATTTTCAGATAGCGTATCTGAGAAGGAACAAAATAAATAAAAAGACAAGAGGAAAAACTATTCTTAGCCATCGTGTTTCGTCCTCTGAGGGACTTTATTAAGGCAAATGTAAGGATTTCATGAATATTCTTAAATTTAAAAGTCTTGATAAACCAATGACATTGTTACTCTTGTATATAAACACATGCAACAAAATAACTCCTTATATTTACCTTGATAAAGTACCTCAGATGACAAAACATGTCGACTAAGAATAGTTTTTCCTCGTCTTTTTAACATATATAAGTCCTGTAGTATTTTTTATTACTGGAGCAATAACAACCTAGCAGTTAACATAATGTAACAAGATGCAATAGAAGTTTGTCTCGCTTGGACAAGTTGGCTATATTGACCTTTAAAGAAATCCCAATTTAACAATCTTTGATCACACTTTCTCTCTATTTAGAAGAGTGACATAATTCAACATTAATAAAGTTTTTTGTGATCTAAACAAGAAAAAAAAAAGTGAGGATGAGAAGAACAAGGATTCAAAGTAGATTTGCCTCGAATCACAAAGATGAAGAATTGAGGTAGATGTAGAATTTAAATTATTCTGCCATAATCTATTCTTTTGCCAAATAAAGATTTCTGCATTCCTAATTGTTAACTTCAAAACTTACCTGGTGGTTAAGCTTAAATCTGAATAATTTACAATCTACAATTTCTCCTCTTTTCATAATGCTCAGGCGATTAAAAATAAAAAAAATAAAAACACAAAACTCACACTCACTCACCCACCCACATGCATAAATGTTCAAGAGATAACTTATATAAAGAAACTTTGTTCAGGTGAAAAGTTAATCATTTCTGAGAAAATAAGACAAAACAAAAAAAAATTCCTTGTTCGTTATATTACAAAAATATAACAGCATATAACAGGTTAAGATATATCACTTGTGTCCAGGATTTTGAAAATCTGTCCATGATTTAAAAGGGTGGGTACAAATTAATATACTGGCTATAAGCAACCCTTTTTTCTTTTTACATAAAACTGTAGAGATGCGTGTTAGAAAATAAAACATTTTCCTACTATGGAAGCACTAAATAGAAACAAAATAGAGCTCAGCAAAGGTACAAAATAAAATACGTAGTAAAATACTGTGTTGCTTCTGATTTGCCAAGCAACACATACTGACAGCAGTTTTAAGACAGACAAAAGTTTTCTTCGGCTCTATGCTAAAATGTTTATACAAAGGATCATTTAATACATTGTTATCAGATAACAGAAACAACATGGATTAATTTCATGCTGAAAAAGCTACATTTTGCAGTAGACAGTGTTTGAATTGTATCCCTTAAATTGCATTACAATAAATTCATAGCAAATTACAGGATCCACATCGCCATGAAAATGATTCTGTGTTTTGGTTAGCGGCTGGTGGTGTAGTTCTTGGGTAATGAGTGCTGTGTGTAGGAAACTGCTGAGTGAGATTTGGGCTGCTTCCTTGTGTACTCAGGAACCGTTGGAAGTTTGTAGGAGTTGTATTGGACAGGGTTTGTTGCATGGAGCTTGAGAGCATTTCCCCCTTGTTAGGTTCTTTGTGACTAACAGAGCTGTGGACAGGCATAGAAGGATCCCCTTGTGTTGAACTGCTGGTTTCTGGCACAGAGTAGTGAGAGATTCGTTGCATGATTTCATTATATTTATCCTCAAGGTCAGCATGGATTCCTGTGCCTCCATGGCCACCAATACCTTTGAAACATAAAAAAAAGAACAAGGAGACAAAAATCAATTTCCTTATCTATGTATTTAATTTTTTAAAGGATTTAGAATTATATAAACAGCTCAACTGAAGTTTATTAATCTTTGCTTTAAATTGCATATGTGTGTGTGTGTGTGTGTGTGTGTGTGTGTGTGTGTGTGTGTATATATATAAGTAAAAATTTTGTCACTTAGCTGATTGATGTTATCTTCAGCATCCTGACTCCAGAATTTCATAGACGAACATGTCCGTCCACTCTTCAGTGGATATCAGCAATTTACTGCTTATACTTTTTGATTTTTCTTTTTTATGCACTTACCATTGGTGTAAGTTTTTCTCATTTTGTTTGTGTTCATTTGTCTATTTGCACAGATGTGCATATGTGTAGAGTGTCAATATCATTTGTCCTTTTCTTTGTTTTTTTCCACTTTAAACTTATTCCTTAGCTTTTACTCTTCTTTATTTGCTTTTCTTTCAATAGTAGCCATTTGTGGCCAATTATTATGTTCTTTAGACATGCCACCATTTTTAAGTTTTGAGCATTTTAGGTGGGGGGCGCTGGGGAAGTTGTATCTTGTTTTTTTTATAAATGATCGATATTAATGCTTAAATGAAATTTTATATATATATATATATATATATATATATATATATATATATATATATATATATATATATATATATATATATATATACCCATTTGTAATTGATAGGATTATTCCAAAGAGGACTTTAATCCAATGTGTGTTTGATGTAAATTACAGAGCAATATATAATGATAAATTAAGAAAACACCTTAAAAATCCATCTAAGTTATAACTTATTTCATGAATATTGTTATATTCATCTCTTCAAAGGAATGCATATTTACTTTTTAAAGATCACAAATCTAATTTCGACAATAATCTACCATCATGATTAATTAATCCTTCCAAAACTGAATTATGCTTAATTTCATAAAAAATATAATTAGAAAAATAATACAGACTGTACAAGGAACCTATTAAAATAATCTTTGGAAAGATTCTTCTGATACTACAAAATGGCTCCAGAGTATTAAAAATAAAAGTAAAACCACTTTTATCCAATTTGACATTATAGATTTCTAGCCTTCATTTCAAAAGATCTATTATTAAAAAAGTTTAGTTTGATAAAAACTATATAAACATTACAGATGATGAATTCAAATTTATCTTAGCTTCTAGACAATCTTTACTAATATATAACAATTCTACTTGGATTAAAAGTCTTGATAACTTTGATGTTCCTATGGACGCCTATGACTCTGCTCAAATTGCTGATATAGTAGGTATCAATATATTAGACACTCTTAGTAAGATTATTGATCCTAAACAAGTAGGTCTTTACAGAGATAGACTTATTTTCATCCCAGATAGTAAAGGTCCACTAACTTCTAAAATACAGAAGAAGATTATAAAGGCTCTCCAAATTGAAATCTCATCTAACCTTAAAATAGTTCATTTTTTTTATATCACTTTCAACCCAACAATACATTTAAGTCATTTTACAAAGACAATCAAACTCTCATTTATATTAATGTCAACCCCAATCAGCCAAACTCAATAATTAGACAAATCCCTAACACAGTAAACACTAGAATTAAAAGATTATCATCTAACTTCAACAAGAATAAAATAACTTATAACAAAGCCCTCAATAAGAGTAATTTTAAACAAAAATTGTTTTACCAGGAATTTTTAAAAAACAATAAAATTAATGCAACCAAAGACAGAAAAAGAAAAACAATATGGTTTAACCCACCTTCCTGCAAACTGTCTAATGTAAATATTAGCAGACATTTTCTAAATTTAATCAACAAAAATTTTAATCACAACAACCCTCTACAAAAGGTTTTCAATAGAAAAACTATAAAAATTAGTTATTCCTGCACTAACAACATACATAATATTATTGACTCACATAACAACCAAATATTAAAATCATTTTATGACAGCAACATACCAGAAAACAAGACCTCTTGTAATTGTAGAACAGGAACCAACTGCCCAGTTGGAGATATCTGTAATTCAGTAAATGTAGTATACCAAGTTACCATCTTTCCAAAAGGAAATATTAATGATCAAGTATACATCAGGATATCTGCTGGAAGTTGGAAACAGAGACTCTACAATCACCATCATTCCTTCTCCAATGCTTCTTTAATACACCAAACTGCTTTATCTAAGCATTATTGGAGACTTAAAGATAGAGGCTTCACCTCACAAATTAAATGGGATATCATCTCAAACTCCCAACACCTGAAACAGATGCAATCTATGCATAGAGGAGAAAATCATAATAATTAAATATAAAAATGCTGGCAAATTTCTTTTATATGAATATAGACATGTGTGTATGTGTATTCATATATATATGTATGTGTAGTTATATTGCTTGTCACACATTTTTTATATACAGATCTGTTGATATATTTAATTATTTATGTGATTATCTTGCTGATGCCTACATCATTTATAATTTTTAATTTAATATTTTACTTATTTATTACTATTATTAATAGTATTATTTTCATTATTTTTATCTTTATCAAAAATTTTTTTATTTTAAATTTGTTAATTATAATTATCTAAATATATTCATTTCATTTATTTATTTTATTTATGTTGGATATTATTATTATTATTATTACTATTATTAGTTTAAAATGATGAGGATGATGCTGTCTAAACTGACACTACTTTCACTGACTTTATTAGATACATTGTTCTAACACTTAACTTCCTATTCCATTTTCTTCCCATCTTTCTAACTTCCCTTACCTGGTATATTAAATTGTTCTCTCTTCTTTATGTAAACCCTTTTAAGGAAATTTTTCTAAGTCAATTTATTTTTGTTATTGACTCATCATTTATTTCTTCCTTCTTTCTCTTAATTTTTAAATATTTTCCTTTTTCTTATTATATTTTTTATGTCTTCTTTTTACTCTCTATTTGTACCCTTTCTCCTTTTCATTTCGGTATATCTGTCTAGGTGAACTGATTCCATTTCTTAAGAATCACCTTCCGTGTATTAATGTTAAAGGATGAGAGAAATGTGCTATAACTATTTAAATTTCTTTTATTTTTATTTCCCAAATGCTTTCGATCTTTTTCCAAGATCATCTTCATGGGGGCAAGTAATACAAAACTATATGTTGTTCATTAATATAAGTATTTATACAAAGTTGTGCATTGTTATCCATTACCGTTATTTTTTCATTATGCTTTTAAATGCAAAGCAGTTGACAATGTGCTGAGCATTCATTAGAACGTGAAAAAATTATCCATTATGGAATTTTTTCTATTATGTTATAATGTCATGGTCATGCGGGCATTAAAACATGAAAAAAACTTCAGACCATTACTGCAGTATTCATAGTTGATTTTGTTCAGTGCCAGCTATAATTTTTTTTAATATAAATTGCTTCTAGCATCTGTAATCTAATTTTGTTGTTTTCCTGGTGTAGGATAGTTGTGTTGTCCATTAGTAATTTTTTATGTTGTGAATGCGTACAGGAATGTTGTTGTAGATATCTTGCAATGGACGAATGGTTAGGCATTTGGAGTGTAAGCTTTCTTGTTAGTGTATACAGTATTAACAGTAAAAATTGTAAATTATGCTTAGAGAAAAAAATTAGCAATAATTAGTTTTAAAAACCAAAAGTAAACTTTTAAACAAGAATACTGAAATAATGGGTAAATGTAGGCACATAAATACTTTGACATCTAAGGACAAATTAAAAATAAACTAATAAATATAAATAAAATAGATATAATATAAACTTTAAATAAAGGAATGAAACAAATATAAAGTTAATTGATTGATAATTAAACAAAAAAATATTAAGCATACACACCTAAATGCCTGTGTGTACATATAAATATACACACACATGAACACCAAAAAACAAACAAACCTAACCCCCCCCATCATTAATATCTCAAAATATAACACCAAGGCAAAAACAAATAAACTACTAACCATTACATAAAAATAAAGATGATACAGTAAGTAAACAATAACATATGACCATACACTTATTTTAGTTATATATACACTGTTTAATAATTAGATATGTGAGTGCGAGCAGTGCCCATGCAGTATATATATATATATATATATATATATATATATATATATATACACACACATATATATATATATATATATATATATATATATACTCACATATACACACATGTAAATATATGAATTACCCACAAAGTGCTGTTGTTATAGAAACAGTGCTCAATGTTATATAACAGAGCTGTAAAGTATATATATTAGTGAATATACATATCCCACACCAGTTATATTTCTCATGACATTAATTTGTAGCAACTAAATCAACCAGTATTACCATATAAACATAAAAGATAAGTAATTATTAATTTAATTTTAGAGTAGTGAGTTATCAACTATAAATTATTAATAATGGAAGGGAGCTAACTTTATTTAATTTAATATAAAATAAAAGATTGTGTTTGGCATGAAATTCTAAGTAGTGCAAACAATGTGGGAGATTATATATATATATATATATATATATATATATATATATATATATATTGATGCATGTTTCATTAAATAATAGACAAGTTTTGTCTATTCATTTTAAGTAAGTTCCTTTCATATTGTCTGATAAGCTTAATAACATTATCATTGAAAGACAAAAGGAAATCACCATATTGATACGTGTTTAAATCCAATCTAAGCTTTCGGCTTACATAAGCCATTATCAAAGATGACAATTACATTTCAATATATCAAACAATACACGGACAAAACAATAATGATAGTCTGTTTTTGTTGCAAGAAAAATTTCAAAGCAATGACAAACTTGTGTATACGAGACACAGAAGCAAAAATTGTGTTGCAGCTTGTGACGTCACACATGACCACGAGAGAGTGTAAACGAGAAGTATTAAGTATGGGAAGCCATTGGTATAAACCAATGGCTTCTGTTATCAATTATAGGCATTTAAGAATATTTGTGGAGATTTTGTAGTTTATTTTGTTCAGGTTAGGTTTCAACTGTTTTATGTATATAGCTTCAAGAATTTTTAGTTTTTGTTTATTGTTTTCATGTTTAAGTATAGTTGTGTTTTCAACAAAAATTGTGTATGGTGCCTAGGCATGTTGTTTTAAATGCCTAAAAATGTTAGAGTTATCATTCAAGTGTAGAGTCAAACGTCGTGGATTTAACATGTATCAATATGGTAATTTCCTTTCGTCTTTCAATGATAATGTTATTAAGCTTATCAGACAATATGAAAGGAACTTAAAATAAATAGACAAAACCTTGTCTATATTATTTAATGAAACATGCATCAATGAAAAATTGCTGCCTATATATATATATATATATATTATATTTTGGCAACATGTTTTCATTAAGACATGTCTCATTGAATAATTTAGACATGTTTTGTCTATGTACTTTTAATAACATCCTTTCATATTCAGGGACAGGCTTCTTAGCATCCTTATTTAAGGAAGAGAGAAATATTACCATGTTGATACATATTCATTTATTCCAAGTACTTTCAACATTAGCAAAATATCAGGGAGTTGTTTTTCTCTAAAACAAAATTGTTGTGTTCATCTGAAAGCTAATTTTTTTTTAACACATCACAGCATTTACAACAGCATGCCTGTCCAAATTCGTAATTTAGGAAAATTCTTGCTGAAAATGCATGTATACTTTTTCATGAAAATAATAAACAAACTAAAAATTTTTGAAGCTATCAATAATAAAAAATTGAAACCAACCCTTAATAAAATTAATTATGAATATTGCACAAATGTTTTAAAATGTTTACAGTCGATAGTTTAAAATATCTAAGGTTTAACTAATAGTTTTTCTTTTAAAAAAAATAGCATCGTAGTTACCTCCCCTGACTTTTACATTGTGAAATTTAAACTATACAGTACATAGCTTTAGTATTTTTCACTTCACAGTTATATATATATATATATATGTGTGTGTGTGTGTATACTCTCGTGCAAATTAATTGAAAAAACTGCTTCAGTTTCCTTTCTTTAACCATACGTTCTTTGGAGTGATAGGGTGTGAGTGATTTCTATTTTTTTTTCCTCAGATTAGGTCATTGCAGTGGTGTGAAGTAATATAAATCTATTTTCGGGATGTATGATGAAATTTGTTTGGCCTTGAAAAATATTGCGTTATCTGTGATTGCATCAGATTTTTATCATGCCCAGACACTATTGTCTTGATGGTTGATTAGGTGTCCTATGACCATTGTCTGCAATGGATGTTACTCCAAGTGTATGAAAATTGTAACACTGCATGAACACACTGGCAAGCCTCACCAGTGAGCAAATCAAAGTACCATAGACTGGCTTGGAAACTCTCCTTATTTAAATCCAATCGAGAATCTGTGGTAAATCTGCAAGGAAAGACTTTGTGGAATGGACATAGAAAATACTAACATGTGCACTGGGTCATGTTTCATTGGAAAAATACAAAAAAGTAAATAATAACGGAATTATTCATTTTGTTTTAATTAATTTGCACAAGGGTGTATATATGTATATGTGTGCATTATATATATATATATAAAAATAAAATGTGTGTGTGTATGTATTGAGCACTTTTTTTAAAAAGTAAATGCTATGGATTGTGGATTCTTACACCATCTGCTCTTTCTCTTATTTGAAGAAATGTGTGTGTATATATATATATATATATATATATATATATATATTCATCATCCCTTGACTTTTGTAATCGTAGGGAGATCCAAATGCAGAATGCACAATGAATCTCCTCCACACACACGTGTGTGTGTGTGTGTGTGTTTTAATTTTGAGTATTTGATCCCAACAGAATTAAAAATTATTAACAATTAACAATGCACAAATGAACTTAAAAAATAAAATAACTTACACCAATGTTAAATGTATATAAAAATGAAAAATCAAAAAAATATAAGCAGTAAATTGCTGATACCTGCTGAAGAGTGGACAAACAGGTCTGTCTACAAATGTCAGGAGTCTGGATGCTGAAGGTAACATCAGTCAGCTAAGTGACAAACTTTTACTTATATATATATATTTTACTCACATTAATCCTAATCCTATATATATATATATATATATAGTTCCTATTTTGTTTTCTTATTTGGTTTGATGGTGTCTTAAGTATGAATTGTAGGAGATTAGGTTTATAATTAATTTTTTATCTATTTATTGTTTTAATTCATGTGCATATATCTGTATTTATACACTTGTGCATATACACACATGCACATTCATGCATGTACATATATAGGGATGCACATATAAATGTGCATACACAAGCACATGTACACTTATGTCTGTGTTTTGTTATTAATAAACCAGTGCTTAAATGGTGAAGTTATTTTATTTTTAGGGTATTAATTATGGTTGGTTGGGTTTATAAAATATTTTCTTTATTGTTTGAATATTTTCTTTGTATGTATATATAGTGTATATACACTGCGTGCCAAATTATTATCGAGATAACTTTTTAAAAAATATTTCAAAAACCATCCAATCAATTCACACAAAATTTTCACACAATGTTGGCAACACTGACCTGCACAATCACTGAAATTTTCGTACTGATCTGTGCAATGTAAACAAACTGGCGCCATATTTGTTATCAGCACAGTTGTGGGTACTCCAGATGAGTTAAGTGTCGAGTTAGAAGAGAATTTCCAAGCAAAGCATTCAACCTTATCTGCTGTAGATGTCTAGAATGAATTGATTGAATAGGAGGGATTGAAGATTTGCTGTTGTTCAGTACACACTTACAGAGCCACCAATAATCTCTAGAACCAAACTTGTGAGATGCTATACATTGTTTCATTCTATCAGCAAACAGTAACTTTGCTCCATTGAGGATATGCTTGTACTCGTTATGAACAGAGACAAAGATGTCTGTTGCAATCAGACATGTTGCTCTGGTACAGCCGGAAGAAGTGATTCCTGTGGGCTATAGTGGCTGATCATGCAGGTGAGAACCAAGGAGATGAACACAGTTTAACTTGGTATTTCCTTGCTGGAATGAAAGCATTGATGCCAGCTTTCACCCAGGAGGAGACCTTAGATGCAACCTTTTGAACAGGAAGATTAAAAACTTCATTCCAAGAGATGTCACAAAGGAAATCATAGAATGAGTCACAAACTGTTCATTGATAACAGAAAGATATTCTCTTGAGAGGAGGTTCTTGGCTAGTGGGGGAGCAGAAGGAGATGCTTACAGACAGTACTGCATGATCAGAGTTGCCAAGAGGACTGAGCTGCATAGTACAATAAAAGTCAGGAATAGAGGTAAAAAAGAGATTGAGAAGAGAAGCGTGTCCATCAGGGTGACTCGGGAAATGTGTGGGGAAATCAACCACACGTGAGAGATTGAGATGTTAAGGATTTGGATGCCAATGAGGTTAGTGATAGAGTCTTTAAGCCACCTAAATGTATATATTTATATGTATATATATACACACACACACACGTATAGGTGTATAGGTTTAATATTTGTTTGTTTATTTATTTATTAATAATTCATTTTTTTAAGTTTGTATTATATTTATTTCATTTATTTTTGATAATTTGCTGTTTTTAGGGAAGTGTTTGTCAATCATTTCAAAGAATATTTTTCCTATTTTTGTCTTTATTGTATTGAGAGATGGGGGTTGAAACAAATTATATTTCTTTTTCTGTTATTGTATTCTAATTTATTTGAATATCTGCTATTTCTTAGGGCTGATTCAGGTTTTTTGTTTTCATTGAATATTTTTAGGCTGCTAGAATTTGTTGAAATTCTTTCATTTATATATATGGGAATCTGTTTGAATATGTTAGAGGTGAGGTTGGGGAATTCAAATTTTTTCTTAATATATATTGGGTTGTTGTTTGGTTTTCTTTATGGTTTGTTCCTCTGTTTAGGTTGAAATTTACTATTTTGGGGTTGGATTTTATATCTATTGTAAATCCTAGGGTTTTGAAGTTTTTTATTATTTCTTTTATTTTTTCTGTAGTTCTGCCACTGCAATTTTTTAGAATTAATAAACCATCATCCCTTTATAGACCTATATCTTTTTTGGTTAATAATATTTGTTAATTTAATTGTTAATTTATTGATTACTAGCTTAAAAGCCACTCTATTAGGTGGCATTTAAGCTAGCTCCTGCAGAGGGCTCTTGATTGGGCCTTTGGCTTGTTCAGGAGTTTGAGAGTCCCGAAGTCTTTGCATATTCTCAGCATTGGAAGGTCTCCTGGCTGTAGTTTCATCAGGGTTTTCATTTGCACAGGACTTTCTTTTCCTTGTTGCAACCTTGGTTCTTTTGATTGCAATCTGGTCCTCTGTTGGCAGAGATTTTTTTTGCATGGTATACTGCTGCCATATGCAATAGGCAACAATAAACTACAGAACTCAAAATTAATCAATGCATTCAAGTATTACATCAATATTTAAGCTTACCTTTTAAAAGTTCAACAATAATTCTTCCACCACCACTTAAAGACAATTTGATGTACATAGGCCCATACTTTACAAAAATATTGAAAATTCATTATACTTATCAAAGATCAACTCAGAGTTTTGTGATGCTTCATTCTGAAGAACAAAACATTGCAAATCAGTTGATCTTCAATAAGTATTGTGAACTTTCAATATTTGTGATAAATAATTATTTGCTCTAGATAGCTATTAAACACTGTTTTATTGAAAAACTGTTTGCCTTCACATACATTAAATTATATAACTTAATGTCTATCAATAGGTTTTATTTTATTATTACAAACAAACAGCATAGAACACACAAGTTTTACTTACCTTTCATATTGATATATAAAAGGTTTGAGAAGATTAATGCCATACCACCAGGTGGTGGCCACACTACAGTCTCAAACATAACAGGTAGAATTGGCTTGCACAGTAAATCAGCAAGGCTCAGTTCACGGCTACAGTGCTGGGAGACAATATATTTTGGAGTGATGCAAGCTACGACAATCTGTAAATGAAAATCATATCAAATAACTGAATAACCCGAATATATTTTTATTAAACATGTGTTATAAATTTTGTGAGAAAGAATCAGTCTCATGAAAAAGGACATTTTAATTAATAATAATAGGCAAAGTCAAAATGTTTTGTTGATAGGAATATTATTTTGAGCTCAACTAAAGATAAATAAATAAAAGGCAAGAATTATAAAAACTTGTATATTTCCTAATATTTGATATTGGCTATGAAATCTCTAAATCCATGTTTAAGAGACACATTCTAATTTGTAAGAAACATCTGGATTCTTCCTACTATTACTTATAATTATTAATTTCAATGCAAATAAGAAAATGATTTCTCTACATATTAAAATTATCTTTCAGGTTATTTTTGGACTGAAGTAGTGTTTCTCTTGTCTTGTACCAAAGACTAATTGACCTATACAAAAAAAAAGACATCATCTGCTGTAATCTTATTAATGGTGTAATTCACTACACAATCCCATTTTCTTTCCATTTCTTCTATGGATGTCACTTTACTATTATTGAAGAAACTCTAAAAATAAAAACGTTAGAAACTAATGAAATTATAAACAAATCTTATTGACTGTTTTATGTAGATACCTAAAAAAAAGTATTGAATTAAGTAGATATTAGTTCCACTTTCTCACTCATCACAAATTAAGTTGTTAAATTAAAAAAAGAGAGATAACGTCAGTAATTTAAAGAGTTGTCTTCCTTGATCCCATAGATTTCTTTGGAGGAATATACAACAGGGCCGGTTCATAACAGTGAATGTTATTTGTCCGAAAACTGACTTTGGGGAATTTAATGGCTGACTTCACCGAAAAAATCCAAATGTGTAAAATTAAAGGAAGATAATTGTTATCTCTGAAAGGCGCTCTTCTTTAATGGATAGTTGAAAAATTACACTCGCTAATTTGATTGTTGCTTATTTATGATAATGGATAATTGATAAGTCAGTTGGTTTATTTAAGACTAAGAGGATTATTTAATGCTGAAATCAGTTAAATCCAGGAAATTAAATATCCTTTGTTGAGGCAATGAAAATAAAATATAAATAAAAATTCCAATTAAAATGTAAAATAAATATTTAAATTAAATAAAAGAAAGAATAATGAATTAATACAAAAAACGTTTTATAAAGATTTAATTTATTTACGCTTTTATTTGGGATAGGACAAATATTTAAATGGGCTTGTTTTTTGTTATTTTTTTTTTTACTCATTTTTAAATATTCCTAGAATAAACCAAAATATTAAACAAATATGAATGAAGATTTCAGTGATTAGTTTTGAAGCATTATTCAAAAAAACTATCTCCCTTTAATATTCCAACGAACGATTTGACAAAGTAAAGATTCGATTTAATGGTTTTGATCACGCCATCTTTGGGGCAAATAACATTTACCATTATGATTGCCTCCCTAAATTGACAGTAAATTCTACACTAACAAATAAAACATTAAAAGATTTATAAATCAGTTTCACAGTGCTTAAAGAATAATGACTGTTTGGCACCTTGCAGTTTCGTATACCATGTTCTATCCTGTTATAGAGTTGGTCACCTCCACCAAGCTGTCCAATATCCATCCAGCAGGAGTAACCAGCTCTTTCAAGCCTGTCCCATAATGCTTGTACCTCATCTTGACTGTCCCACTGGTAGCTTATAAACACCTGGGGTGGTGGGGCAGACCCTGCTTTGTCTGTTAAAAAAAAATTTATTTAAAAAGAAAAAAAAAAAAAGCAATAAAAAATAATTAAAAAGAAATCATTTCACCCCAAGCAAGACAATAAAGCCACTAAGATACAAGGGGTTATTGAATATGAGAAAACATGAGAAGAAGAAAACATTACAGACAAGGAGAAGATTTTGGTTTCACCTGGTATTTCCAAGAAGCTACAAAAGCATCAATGTTGGCTTTAATTCAAGAAGAAAGCTCAGTGGTACAATTATCAATAGGAAGGTTAAAAATATCAATACAGAGGGCATCTCAAAGAAAGTCATAAATGAATCTCAATGAATATGCTGGTAACAGAAAGACATCTTGTTAACAGGAGGTTCTTGTCTAACAGACAAAAGAAATATCAACATACTTACAGGATATAAACTCCTATATTTTACGGCCAATAAGTGAAGCACAAATAAGAGATGCCCACAAATAAATCTTACTAAATCTTACTTATTATAAAACGCAGATTGTGTGTGTGTGTGTCTGTATGTTGATATATTGGATCGGATTTCCTACATTTTTCAACCAATTTCAACAAAACTTCACAGGACTGTGTAAAATTACCTTGTGGTGGTTCTGACAGTGCCAAAAATGGGAAAAAACACAATTGTTTTTGCATGAAATCAATTTGAAAACACGATTCTGTTGCCAGAATGAAAGGGGGACAACTCATATCGAGTTATACTTATTATAAAACCCAGGTTGTTTATGTGTGTGTATGTGTGTGTTCATTTATATATGGGATCGGATTTCCTACATTTTTCAACCGATTTCAACAAAACTTCACTTTTTTTTTGGCAGGTAGTGTTTCTTATTGTCTTGCACACTTTTTTCTTTATTTTTGCATTCAGAATGCTTCAAAAATTCCATTTACAAGACAATTGTTTATAATAAAATTCTATTCAATCGATAGACTCATAACGATTGAAAACAATGTTTTTGTTTGAGTTTGGGTTTGACTAATTCGTAAAAAAAAAAAAAAAAACGAAAAAGTAATTAAGACATGCATGTCCGTCAACCTTAAACAATAATCTTTGTCAATTTAATTTTTCAGTCTTTATGATGGTCGATACTTGATCTATCTCTTACTGTTACATCCCCGGGCAATGCCGGGCTCTACTGCTAGTTCAGTATATATGAAAAAATTTTTTCACAATTCTGTACAAACATGGCTTCAAATTAAGTAAGTGGTTTCTGGAACCTGATTGGATATAACAAATCATGTGATATGCTCTCTACTATGTCCATGTGGTTGAAAATGATTGGAAAATAGGTCAGGGCTTGGGTTACTGAATGCATTCCTGCACAAAACTCACATAAATTTTGTGAGACAAGCACCAGCTGTCAAATAAAAATGACTCATTAGCAATCAGATCTGCAATGGCACAGTGAAGGACAGACAGCAAAACAGATCGGCCGTGATCAACAACATGGACACATATACCATGATAATGCATATGCCAGTGATGATTTTTCTACATACAAAGCCACAATGAAAGTAAGTCTTATATCCTCTATCTTTGTTCACTTTATTTTAAAATTACTGCTGTGGCATGCAATCAGTCAGCAGTAACACACACACACATATATATATTGCTTAAAGAATAATGACTGTTTGAAACCTTGCAGTTTCATATACCATGTTCTATCCTGTTATAGAGTTGGTCTGGGTAACCTACAGTTAATTTTGAAATGAACCCTTTATTTAATCTACAGGGGTAGACTGTTCTCATTTTACTGCTCACTTTGAACTTTGCAGACTCACTTGCAACAAATCACTCTGAACAATTGAACTATTGGTCTTTTCATGGCCGCAACAAAGAACATTGAATTTTAATATGTAAATACATGTATCTGACTGTATAAATGTTACCGCCATATTTAGTTTGGTCTTCTTCCTTTTCTGCAAAAATCATTTCTTTGCGTTTTTTATAATTTCATGTTTTACTTGTGAACACAACACTTGGATTTTATTTTTCCTCCTAAAATCCGGGTAGACTGAACCCCACATACTACAACATAATCCAAATTGTCAAGAGGATGTTTGATAAGAGCTAAGATTTGGTTGGTTGATTTTGATTAGCATCATATCAACCTCTATGGGTTATTTAATGCCAAAATCTAAATATTTTGAATGTAACTGTATGTCTTCAACTACAGATAAAATGTATTGTTGGTAATTTTGCTATAAATGGGTATAGTTGGTAATTTTTTTTTTATATAAAAATGTATTGCCAATATTTTTATACTTTCATAATGTTTTGTTTGGGGGTTCCTTATTTGCCCATGGCTGGGACCTTAACAGGTGCTACCACCCTTGGTCAGTGTAGACCTGAGGTAAGGAATTAATCAAAGGTTCTTGTTGATCAGTATTATCAGGGAAACAATTATAGAATAAATATTCAGATTATTGGCCTCATCTTTGTTGTTGCCGTTATCATATGTTTCAGCGATTGTGCTCTCCAGACTTTGATCTGGGTAACCTACAGTTAATTTTGAAATGAACCCTTTATTTAATCTACAGGGGTAGACTGTTCTTGTTTTACTGCCCATGTCTGGGGATATTGTCTAGTTCTTATTTTTAGTACTGCTCAGTCATTGTTTGCCAGTTCTTAAATTTGATAAAGTTGTAAAGAACACTAAATAACAAAAGCAAATCTTCTTTTGGGACATTTTAGTCTATGTAAAATTTTTTAATGTTAGGTCAACAAATCAAATAATTGATATGTTTGTATTTGTTCTTAGTTATCAGGATTTCCCCATTTGATAACATTGATCAAAACTATGATGTCAATTTTTTTTTCCTTTTTAAAGTTTGCTCCATTGTCAGTTTTAGCAAATGGCATTGATCACTAATTATTATTGTGGAATATTTATATTTTAAACTAATTTATGCTAATGTGTTTCATATTTACAAGATTTTGTTTGATTCCCATTGTAAGAAAAGTAGTTGAAGCTACCAATTAGCAATACTTTATAATGTAGCTTAGTAAAGTCAGTTTGTATTCCAAAGTCTGAGTAGGCATATTTCCTTTTACCTCAATGTATTTCTGCTACAGTAGAATTGTCAGTAGTAAAGTAATGAAGATTGATTTGTTTTTTACAGCCTATCGACCCTTTGCAGGTTATTTAAAGACAGAAAATATTTTTAGATTGTAAGAATTTTTTGGAAGATAATAATGAATTAGTGATACAAGTCTTGTTAATTAACCTATAGCTGGGGGGAGAAGAGGTGGAGTCGTACCTTTCCCAAAAGTATTTGTGTGTAAATGTATATAACAAACCCAACAGGAATTGGAACTCAGCTCTCTCCCAACCTGCATTTCCGAGCTTACAGCACCTGGTATTCCCAAGTAATGAAGAGAAAGTGCTTTTGTAACATGTGTATGAATCATGTCATCATCTAAATTAATTATAATTATAGTTTTGCTTTCATGCACATAGAAATGACAGATTTGCTAAAGTGACTTCACTACTTTTATAATAAATTCGTCTTGAGAAAATAATAAAAAAATCATGATAAAGAGAAGGAATAATGGACTGAAAAATAAGAATATATAGAAGAATTTGGAAATAATAATCAAAATTAAATGTCACTTAGAAAACGACAATTTAATCAGGGAATTTTCTTAGACTTTTTATGTTTTGTCCCTTCAGGATGCAGAGATCATGGCTCTGCACAACTTCATATCTGCTATCCGTTTACAAACCCTCATTAAGTATGGTATTCATTGTTTCCCTTTACCCTTTACTGGAAAGGAAAACAAAAATAAGAAATAATTTATTTTGTTACTTTAGTATAAAAAATATACTAGCTGCCAAAAATAAAAGAGTAATTCCTAAAGCCATTGAAATGATTAATTTCACAATGTTCAAAATTAATCTTAGGCAAAAAAAAAAAAAAACAAAAAACTGTTACTTACTTCTGTGTTCATGTAAAGCCTCAATGATGTCATAGCGAGACATCTGCTCCAGAAAGGTAAGCAGTACATCAACAGAAACCTGGGTGTTTCCACTACTCAGGATCCAATCAGTGAGTAAAGCCAAAGAAGGATTTAAATCATTGTTGAATTTTTCTAACTTGGATTTCTTATAACCTTTAATGTATAAAAAACAAAGAGAAATAACAGTAAAACGTAGAAACACAAAAATATACAAAAGTAGGGAAAGAGAAATACAATGATAAATAAATAGATATGATATAGGATGCATACTGTTGATCAACAGTAGATTAGACTTATAGGTTGGATTGATACAAAGGCTCACTCTTTTTTAATGTCTAACTGTGACATTATGCCAGACCAAATGCCTAACTTTGCAACATTACAGCAGACTAAACCAAAACACAGTAAATTCTTTACACATTCAAGAAATATTTTATAAACATTGATGAATGATTTATTGTATATTTTATCTAATATGAGAGATCTAGATATATAATTGTAAATAGTTTGCTATATTTATGGGAAAAATGTACTAAATATCAGTCATAGATCTAAACCAGGGGCT